TACCTAGCTCCACATGAGCAGGTGAATTAGTCCTATAATTGCACACCTCTTCCAAGTTCTATACATCTTATGAATTATTCCATATATGACACTAATTGTTTTGCCACTTGACATTCAACTATGATTATAATCACAAACATTTTAATTTCAGTTGCATTTCATACTACTACTATTACTACTTTATGCATTCACACATATGATTCAATTCTCTAACCGTATATAATGTCTTAGGAACCATGTATATATACGATTGTACATGTTGACAATGAATTCGTTGAAAAGACTCTCTTTTTGCTGAATCACTTGTTTTGATTTTTTACATGTTTCAATGGGAATTTCCCATAATTATAACTACTCAAAAATGTGTTATGAAATCTAAGTATTTTGAGTGTGGTATGAAACCAGATACTTAATAGGTGATGTAATGCACCTTCCTGACACAAAAATATAACTAAGGCTAAAAAAAATATACGTATGAGTTTAATCTTAGTATCAGCTGAATAGACTTCTCGTTGATCACTGGATGCTTAAGGTGTTTTAAGCTGTATATTTTAACGAGTACGCATTCGACGGTATTTAGCCCCTTCCTACGTACTTGTTAATACGTCTATTTTCAAAGTGCTTAGCTTAAATATATTAATTAGATGTGTTTAGAAACTTTTTTTCTGAAAAATAGTCTCAACCTTTATTCTATTTAAATATGTCGGTCTTTGGAGAATATTTTTAAGTAACTGAGTCTTTTTACTTTGTATTTTGTTATCATTACTTACAGGTTAGGGTTGGGGTTGGGTAAACAGCTAAATAAATGGGTAACACAGCATACTGAGTTAAGTAGGCTTGGCTAATTGTTACATAATAACAACGCATCCAGTCCCTTACACGGACTATTCATGTAACTGAAACTGTTCTGTACAGGTATGCATTTGGGAGTGATTGGTAGCCAAGGTCATAGTAAGTCAAATAATTATAAAACTTATGACCAATTGTATGAAATGTCTACATCAAATCCAATAGATTATATCTCTAGATGACTTGTCGAATACATTTATTCCTGTAAAAAAAAGAAATGACTTGAAATGATGATAGCCACTAAGATTATATTTGAAGTAGAAACGAAGCACCTAGATATAGCTGGAGAACTGAGATTAACTCTTTATAAGAGAACTGAGAATATCAAAGCGAGGATCATCGGGAAAGCAAGGCAAGCTTTTATTACTCTCAAGTCTGTGTGGAGATCAACAGCACTAAAATCTGGATTTTCAACTTCAACCTGAAGTCATTGTTACTATATGGATCACAGATTCAGCGTGTCACGAAGGCCACACTTCGAACAAACTACACAACTTCAACAACAACTGTCTTCGCTAAATACTTCACTCAACATCAGATGGCTGGCCAGAAAACATCACCAACAGGGGGGATCTCTAGCAATGAACAAACCATCCAACCCAGCAGGAACCAATTGTGCAACAAATATGCAGGAAGAAATGGAGGTGGACTGGTCACACTCTGAGTGACATCACACGGCAGACTATCGTTCGAGTAGAACCCGGATGGGTGAGCATGGTCGAGTTGGTCGTCAGTGTGAGGGTGACATGGAAAAGATGATGCGAAGAGGAGATGAAAGTATGTGGGTTGACGCGGAGCCAGGTGAAAACGTTGGTGGGGAACTGAGTGCAATGGGGACGTGTGGCTGAAGTGCTATGTTCCTCTAAGAACTAAACGAGACAGTAACAATATAGTAATAATAACAATAAGACAACTGAAAAGCAGCGAGCAGTTTGATTTCTCTGTCTAATAAGTGATCTAACTATTTCAATGTCTGTTAACTCCCAGCTAGACTGTACTAAGATGAACAGCTTTCTATCAGGAATTAGCAAATGGTCTTCGTCTAACGGCCTTAAACTAAATCCTTCCAAATGTCAGACTGTCAATTTCAGTTTCCGATGTAAAAGAAAGTTAAATGAAGCCATTGGTTCCTATGACCGTTGCAAAATTGATGATAGTGATATAGAAATCAAGTCTGAAGTTAAGCATCTTAGATTAATTCTTTCTACTGACCTATCCTGGTCTTCCCATGTCTTAGCGATTTCTAAAAGAATATTTCGTCTGACTTTTGCATTAAGAAGTTAAGGCACTCAGGTATAACTCAACCGACCCTCCTCTTACAGTTTGTCAACTCGTGCATCTTATCTATTCTTCTTTACTGTTCACCCTTATTCTTTCCTGGATTGCTTAAAATAGACTATGTCATACTTCGTAGAACTCTAAAGACTGTTAGTAGGACGAGTGGTATCCCATTGGGCCATATCGTTGACATTGTCACTGATAGGCACTTGCTGTCATGCAACGAATTCGCTAAAGGAATTTTGTCAAACTCTGAGCACCCACTCTACCCGCAGCTCCAACCTTGTCTCTCCTCTTCTTGTAAAACAAGAAGTCTTTTCAGAAGACTTTATGCACGTACGTCTAAGTATAAAAATTCCACTATACCATATTTAGTACGTACTTTATGTGATGAAAATAGTGTCAGGCATGAACTAACTAACCTTCTTTGCACCACTAAATAAACCATTTCCTCCACCCTTACAGCATCAAACTTTATTGTTATTGTATTTCTTATATTTATAATCCTCTCAATTTTTTGTTTTTGTTTATTTTTTTCATAAGTGTGGACATAATTTAAGCTGTGTTATAACTGTTAATTTTGCCTTACCCCTCACTACACTATATCAACAGAACATTAGATCCAATAATCTATAACATGCTAAGGTTTCCAAACTGAATCGACAATACCGTTTGAAACAAACTCACTGTTATTATTATTATTATTATTATTATTATTATTATTATTATTATTATTATTATATTTAATAATCTCATTTCGTGCTTCGAATATTTTTGACTTTATATCGTAAATGTGGACAAATACCTCCGGTTAATTTAGTTTTAATTTTTAATTTTAATTATATTTTGAGTAAATCAGATGCAATATTGTGACAAATGCTGAGAATTCCATTCTGTATTATAAGTACTGTTTTTGGAATAAAGTACATTATTATAATAATTATTATAAGTTTCAATTACTAATTCGGGAGATTTTTGACTGAAATCCTCTCACTATCCAAGTTTTCGTTTCACTTTCCAACATTAAAATCTTCTTTTATGTATTATTAACACCAATATATATGGATACTACAACCACTGCAAAACGGCACTCAAAATATTGTAAGAAATTCATATGATTTCAAATCCCAAATAGAACACCGAGAAATTGATAAAGAATACATTATGGTAAGCTATGTATGATATTAACTCATTATAAACTAGTATCCCTATCACCGGAAGTCTTGATATCATTTCCAGTCTACTAGAATCAGATACAACGCTATCACTAAGATGTCCACTGGACACCAGTGAAATAATTAAGAGCTTAAAATTCTGTCTAGAAAGTAATTATTTTACATTTAAAGGGAGTTTATCTAGACAGACAAATGTTGTTGCTTTGGGCTCACCAGTCTGCCCAATAGTCGCTGATCTTTTCATGAATCGATTCGAAGATAACGACATCTTTTCAAGCATACTCACTCCTAAAATATAGTAAGATATGCAGATGATACTTTTGTAGTGCTAAAACGAGATCTACACAGTTCATTCTCGGTGAAACTGAACAATCTACCTCCCAGAATCCAGTTTACTTCGGAAGCAGAATCAGACGTCGGTGAACTACCATTTTTACACTGCCCAGTTAAGAGGAGGGAAAACGGACATTTTAGTATATTTGTATTCAGGAAGAAAACCCACTCCAGTAAATATTTAGACTTTGGATCATTACACTCCATCAGTGCAAAGGTATCAGTTGTTTCAAGTCTTCTCAGACGAACACACTCTCTGATAATGGATGAGAAAGAAAAAGAAGAAGAAATATCAAAAATTACTGAGACTCTCAAGCAAAAAAATGCTACCCAAAGAACTTCATCAACAAAATCAACACTAACATTAAGCATGGTCGAAAACGTGGACCTCAACAGTTGTCATTCCATATACAACGGAGACATTAGACAATATCAGAAGAGTACTCAATTAGCTCGACATCAGAGTTTACTTCAAAACATCAGACACACTACGAAACAACCTTGTTCATATAAAAGACCAGATGCCTTAAGATTCTCTATCTAATTGTGTCTATAAAATAAAATGTTTGGAATGTGATACGATATACATCGGACAAACATCGCCTGAGAGAAATCAAGGTAATCAGAAGAAATGAACATCATAGAGCATCTGTTCGATCACCGAGAAATCCAATTGAACTGGTAAAACTTGAAAAATCATCAGCCATAGCTCCTCTACACGCTATAGAATCAGGTCACAAAATTGATTTTGAAAATATTGAAATAATCCAGAAAAGCTTCAGAAATCATAAAGAACGTCTAATATCAGAAGCACTTCATATCAAGTGGAATCCGAATTGCCTGAATAGGAATGATGGACTAAAACAGAATTTGACCTGGTTACAACAACCCCATCCCTCCACCATGAAGTGACAAAATCAACACGAATGTGACTCATAAGCAATTTCATTGTGTAAACACACGCTGCTTTTATAATTTTACACACTTATCAAATCCAACAGTCATCTACACCTGGTTTTATTATCTTTACGAATTGGTCAACTTGACAAGGGAAAAATGACCCCATGCTGAGGAACGATGATTAAGTTGTTATATATAAGCTGAGTGGATTTTGTAAATTCTGGTTTAATAATAAAGCTATTGATAAAGCTATTAGCGACAGCATTAAATAGCGAAACGTCAGTAAAAACAGGCATGTCGTTTTGTTTTTCATTCATTGGGAAATACAAAAAACCTTTATTATTATAATGAATATCACATACCCAATGCTCAAAATTTTTTTCATACTGTCAAAAGTGAACTTGGTTTGGAAATATATACTATATCAAATTACTTCAGAAAGGAAAAAAACAAACATTTACTTACATTCTCAGAATCTGAATCAGTTAATTGAAAATGAATTGATGGGATTTGACCTTCTCTATGCTTACTATTATCATCATCATCATTATCATGATTAGTCAAATTCTCAGGATTCAATGCATCTGTGTCAGTTTTAATTTTATGATAAACTTCCAGTTGATTATTCCCAGCGTTGACGGTTGATTCTTCATTCAACTCAGGCTGCATTAATCCCTGGTTAGTTAATTTTACTCCAAAATCAATATTATAATGCATGGAAGTCATTAAATCCGGTGATGAATAAGTAAATTCTCTTATTGAAGTTTGTTTATTTGATGCTGCCGCTGTTGTTGATGATGATGATAGGGACTGTTGATCACTTGAAGAATTGTTCAGTCTGCAATGTGTGTTAGTAGTAGTATTTCGTTGAATCGATAACTTGTCAGGTAATATTTCTTCATCCCCTTTATCATCCATTTATGTTTGATTGGTATTCTGGTGTGTTAAAATGCATTACAGTCATTAAAAATTGGTGTGAAGTGGATTTTTGTAATGATCTCAAAGGTTGTTATATCCTCTTCGGTGTTTGTGATGAATACATGTATATATATTGAGCAGGGAAATCTTTCCTGTTTCTGTTGGGCTGATCGAATCTTCTGGATGTATATATATTTCTTTATTTGCTTCTGTTGGCCCTATAAAACTGACTACTGGCTAACTGCTTTTTTGTTGTTACAATACACATATATATACATAGACCAGACAAGATAAGAGTCATTTATTATTTAAAATTTATTGACGCCATTAGATAGAGCGGATGGATAGACAACAGGGGAGGCTTTATTCACTCTACTTGACTAACCTATAGGCGGAAGTGGGAGCGGAAATATATCGATGTTTATATATATACATATATGTGTGCATACAGACATATACATACATAAATATACACATTTAATGTGTGTTTGTATGTGTGTGTGTTGTATATGTTAGTTTGTAAGTTCATCAATGAGCAGAATTTCCTACACTTCCTACTGCCTTCCGTGTTTTTTTTTTAAATATTAATGTTGTATGTGAAGGGCGGAAGCATAGCATATTCTAATATTTCATGTATACAGTGCATCCGCTTGTGCATATGTCAGTTTGTGTATATATTTGCATACCCAAGGGATAGTGTGATACATATAAATACACACACACGTTTCTTTATATATGTTTTCCACCTATTTCTACTAATCGTGTTTCAGGGTTTGCGAGTGTGTGTGTGTGCGTAATTGCATCTAAGCGAATTCGATATACGGACAGGTTATTGACGGAAGTTTCAGGGATAGACAAATATACGAATGAACAAACAGGACGGAAGTTTGTCTCAGATAGCAATTATTATTATTTGTTTGTTTGTTGGTTAGCTAAATTCAATTCAAATCACCTATGTTATAGGCTAGCCCTAGATAAAAAAATAATTTCGAAAATACTTTTAACTACTTTAATACTACTAACAAACGCTTAGTAGTATAAATTAAGCATAAGACAATTTTAAATCAACTTTCATATAATAATTATAAATTTCCAGATTACTTATAATAATTTAAAACTTTCATAACCAGACGGTTGAAGAAAGTAAGGGAGGAACAGATATTTCCCGACAGTTTATATGAAGAAATCAGGCCAACGGGCACGTAGACGCCAAGATTGTATGGTTCGCCTAAAGTACATGAACTGGGGGGGGGGGGGTACCGTTAAGACCACAATACTTGATATGCAAAATTCTCCCTACCATGCTCTAGCTAGATGGTTAGTAAATATTCTCAAACCTTTGCATAAGTAGATAGTGAAATGTAGTGTCACAGATGTATTTAAATTTGATGGCGCTTTTACAACAAGTGGACAGGGTGACAATAGTTTCCTTGTTGGCAGATTTCTTTCTAAGCAAACCAGAAAATGGTCATTTGAACAACCTTATCGGAAAATTCTTATTTTATTAACGGAATATGGATGACACCTTCATTCTTTGTGGTAATGATTCCGATAGCAACACAGTAATAACTCAATTCAATGCAGTACATTCTGATATGAAATTCTCGTGAGAAGAGAAATCCGAAAACAGAATTGCCTTCCTAGATGTCCTAATTACAAGAAAACCAGATGGTAGCATAAAGAGAAATTTGAATAGGAAAGGTAATGGACATGACAATATACACATTTTCATAGCTTCGTTCCTCTCCAGCACAAAAGAAATTTAGTAAAAACCCTCAGCCGTAGGGTTAGAGCTATATACTCAGAAGCAATAATTGATGATGAACTAAGCATTGTATATGATACCTTGATTGAAAATAGCCATCCTGACAAATATATCAAGAAAAACATGACAAAGAAAGCGGAAAAGGACTACTCACTATCCGTAAACAAGTAGCCTTTATACATGGGACTGCAAATCAAGGGCTATATACCTAGCGAAATAATTACGAAGAAATTAAGGAAATCAGTTCAAAGAACTTAATGCTGGCAGACTACACGTCTTATTCTCTACACGACCTATGGTGATTCCTCGATTGAAAGATGATGTATCTAGACTAGCGACTTCTAACTGTATTTACCAATTCAACTGAGCTTGTGGAGCAAGTCATATTGGCCGTTACTCTAGGAACTTGATTTTTCGTGATCGCTCGGGAACATCTACCTGTGTGGTTAAATAAAGGTGTAGGTAGAAGCATCAATAGCTCCCTCCATATTAGAACACCTGGTTCAAACTGGCCATAAAGCCAGCATTGAAGAGTCCTTCTCCATCATTTATCGGACAGCAAACAAATTGCCAAAATCATCCAGGTACCGCATACTCCAAACATTCATCTTGCAACCTGACACTTGATATATATATATATATGTATATATATATATACATATATATGGTATTTTAGAAATTATATCCGGTGAGGAAATTCAACCAAAGGTGTGAATACATAAACTAATGACAATATGAAATGAAAATGTTTACGATTGTAATCATACCTAAATATCAAGTATCAAATGGCAAAACAAATAATGTCATACATACTGAATACTTCACAGGATGTACAGATGTTAGAAGGAGTGTAAAACGATAGAATTAGTGGGCAAATAATAAACGTGACGAAACATGATATGAAAATTGGTAAGGTAGAATTCAAGAAAAATTGAAAGAAAATTTTTTGTGGTTTAAAATGACAGCTGGGACAAGTGAAATAATACTGGACCATTTTTCACAGTGAAAATAGTAATTGACAATAATTATAATATAATTGTGGTAATGACGGAAAGGTATACAGATTAACTAAATAAACAAAATAATAAATAAATGCATAAATGTGTTTACTCCACTACGTCGAAGGTAGGAATATTATATTATCGTTACAATGATAGCCAGTTATGCCCACTGGGTGGGTACATTTCTACGTAGAATAACAGAATAGTTACAGGGTGTCAAAATAAATAGTAGTATTTGTGTGACAAACGTTCTAGGCTGAAATCAATTACAAAATATTGTGAAATAGGAGACAATGGTGGTGATTAGTCATAATAGATTCACATACAATGTGGGATAGGAAACACTGACAAGTAAGTTCAAGGTTATAAAAGGTGTCTGGTGAGTGAGTGGCTAGTACAAAGTGGTATGTATTAAAGAGGAGATAGTAAGACTGCAATGAGAGGAGCAAAGTTCAACAATAGCGTCCCAGGAGTGCGAACGCACGAGTGACCTTCAGCTGACCAATCATAAAAATGAGGAACGTTTGCTCAAAAAATGATATATATATTGACAAGAAAATGCTTGAAAACGCATTAAATAGGTTATCTTTCTCTGACGTGGCTTAAAAACACGTCCTAGTTGTAATGAGGAGTATCATTTGCTAAGTTAGACTAGTTTCTGTACCTGTATTCACCGAGCTGACTACTGATAAACTGTTTTTGTGAATCGTTTATCTCTCTCATCCTGCTTGCAGCCTTCCAAAAAAGCCCTCGGTTGAACTGTTATGGTTTCGAGCAATAGGATAGACGACTACTTACCAGGAAAACGTAGACAATAAAAAAAGTAAAAATAAATGACTAACTATAAATCTATCCCTAATCGTAACCATAAGCTTAATCCTGGCCCTAACACGAAACCTAAGCTTAATCCTAACCCTAAGCATAAGCCTTATTCAAACCGTAATTCTAACCCTAATGCTAATTATAACCCTGATCCTGACCCTGACGAACTATTAATACACTGTCCAAACAGTACTTAAAAACGTGATATAAGTGAAATTTGCTCGTAAGTTGATGAATAGTGTTGATATTTCAGCTATGATAATGACAGATTCCGTTAGCCAACGACTAGCATGCGTTCAAGGTCATTGGAGCGGGCACACTCCTGGGACGCTATTGTAGAACTTCGCCTTGAGAGGTTCATCATGAAATAACGAATGTGGGAAATGAAATAGATGGAGGCATATATTGAGAAAAGAGATAATATTACTAATAATAAGTCCGGATAGTATAAATGGAAAATTCGATAGTATTGAGCGAATGTTTGAATGAAGGAGATAAATTATAATCAATAATAATTGATGGAATAGCTATGGTATCTCCACTAGGTCCTATATTTGCGAATATCTTTCTAGCAAAACTAGAAAATAGTCCGTTCAAAGATTTATTATTATTATCATTATTTATTGTAATTTATTCCCTTCATTCTAGAATTCTTTCAATACTATCGAATTTCCCATTCATACTACTCGGACTCCACCTGTTTGATTCCACATTGGTTATACACCATGGCGAACTGTTCACTACAGTCTTACCATCTCATCTTTAATGGATACAATTCTGCATACTACTAGCCAATCAACTGACACCTTTTATAAGCTTGAACTGACTTGTCAATGTTTAAATAAAGTATAATTATATTTCAATAGTTTACACACAATGATAAGTTTTGTTATTGGTAATATTTCGAATATACCAACAAAATGAAGGAGTAGCCATGGGATCGCCTATCTCACCAATAATAGCTGACATATTCATGGATTATTGGGAAGAGAATGCCCTTAAACCATTCAGGTCATCACTAAAATGTTCGTGGAGATATGTAGACGACACACTAGTAATAGTGAAAAAAAAACGATATTGAGAAACTCTTCTCACACATAAACAGCCATGTCGACTCAATTAAATTCACTATGGAAGTAGAGAATGAAATTGGGGAACTACCTATGTTAGACTGCAAAATACAAAGAATAACAGATGGTAGCATTAAAACGACGCTATATAGAAAAACCACACACTCTGGAAGATTCCTTGATTATCACTCAGCTCATCCACTCACGGTGAAATGAGGATTAATACAAGGTCTTGCAGATAGAATACGTAGACTTACAACAACGCCAGAGGACCAGTGTAAAGAAATAAACGTCCTATTCAAAATGCTACTCGAAAACAACTACCCAAAAGAATTTATAAAAGATAATATAAAAAAGAGAAAAAAGAGGGTAAAACCGGAGAATAACGAGATGGAAGAATGCAAAAAAACAGTCACAATACCATATAAAAGTGGTACATCAGAGGCAATTCAAAGAAACCTCAAAAATATCGGCATTCGCACAACTTTCAAACTGACAAATCTAATCAAAAATAAAATAAATCAACTGAAACATCCCATAAAAATGATGGATAAAAACAACTTAATTTACAAAATATCTTGTGCTGACTGTCCGACTAAATATGTGGGGTAAACGTCGAGATCACTCAAAATAAGAGTGAATGAACATAAACGCCTAACCAAAGGTCAACCAACAGGAACACAAGCCTACAAGAATCTTGAAAAAATTCATCGATAGCTGCACATGCATGGGAAAAAAACCACAATATCGATTGGAACAATG